TAACAATTATGTTATTAAATACATAATTTAACAACATTAAAATATAAAAATCTAAACTAAATCCTATTAATAAATAATGCATATAAAATAATTTATTAAATACATTAATTAAACTATAAAATATTTAACTACTAACATTAGCATACAATTACTATACTATCAATATTAGACTAATTCAACTAATAAAATAAATAATATGTCATCTAACCCAATGTGTCATAACATTAATCCTAAAAATTATCTTACCCAAAATCCTATGAATAAATAATGCATATAAAACAATTTATTACATACATTAATTTAACTATATGTTATTTAACTACTAACATTAAACTATATGTTATTATACTAAACTACTAATATTAAACTAATTAAAATAATAAAACAATTAATATGTCATCTAACCTAATGTTTTATGTTACATATAATATATATAACAAGAACTAAATAACAACAAAAATAAAAATTAACAATATTATACATCACTAACCTCAAATGAAGACAAAGAAGGCAAATGAGAGAGAAAGAAAATTAAAAGAGGAAGAAAGTGAAAGAAGAAAAATAAAGGAGAGAGACAGAGAGAGAAAAGGGAGGGGGAGGGGGCGCTGGGGATGATGGGGGGAGAGGGGAGGGGGGGTTATATAGGGGTGGGAAAAGTAACCGTTGAATCAAGTTCGCCAAGGTGGGGAGCGACCTTGGTGCATGTCAGCCACGTGGCACTAGCCGTTGCACACAGGTCGCCCAGGTGGGGGGCGACCTCTGTTGCATGCAAGTCACGTGTCATGCCAGGTGAGGCATTAATTGCAATAGAGGTCGTTTGTGTCAGAAGCGAACTATGACACCACCAGCTTGCTGACACCTCATCATGCATAGTTCGCTACTGCTCCAAGCGACCTTGCATGCGTGGCAGTTTGGGAAATTAGTTCACGCGCGTGGCATTTTGGTATATTTGTGTAGGAACAGTGGCACAATGGTCACTCTTCCCTCCTAATACAAGGAAAGAAAAAGTAAGATATGCTACGAATAAATATAGAAACTAATTTTAAAATATATTAAAAAAATATTTTAATATAAATTATTTGATATTTGACTTAACCGGTTATCATTGGATGCCAACTAATCCAGATTCAAACTGCGAAAGATGATTTGTTAAATTTATAATACTACATAATACTTAAACAGTTAAATTTATTTTATATATAAAGATATAATTAAAATATTATATGATCTCATTTAAATATTTTTATATACTATAAGATAACAATATTTAAATTAGAAAAAAAAAAGTTTAATGAAAAAAATTAAAAATTGGAGATAATGATATTAATGATATGTTATTAAGGACATATGATGTGAAAGTGAGCTATTTTATTTACAAAAAAAAAAAAAAGTGAGCTATTTTCCACATTAATGATATGGGATACCTAAAATAAAAGTTAGCTATTTTTCACATTTGAATGGATAGATATAAATAAAATGCGAGATAAAATTATCTCTTATAATTTCAAAATCATATCGTTTTAGGATTTAAAGAAAAATAGTGAATGATATTTATATAAAATTTATAATACAAGATAAAAATAAAATTTTTAAAAACTTTATTTTTTTTCTTAGAGAAATCTAGAGAGAAATAGAGCAAAATCTTAGAAAAAAAGATAGAGATATGATGTGAAATGAAACAGTGAAAAAACAGGGTATATATAGGCCAACCAACTCTTGTCGAGCTTGGGCGTGAGTGCCTCTCAAATCACGTCGAAGTGGGGCGTGAATGATCTTGCCCAAATTAAGCATGGGTGAATCTAATAGATCCATAAATTGATTCAAAACAATAATATTTTGATAATTTTTTTTATTAAAAGAGCAACATTTTAATTTTTTTTTTCCTTTTAAAAGTATACAAACCAGTGTTTAAAAATCCGGCCTGGCCATCGACCCGTCCGAAGTCAGGGGTCACAGATTTAATCGGGAAGTCATGGGGTCACTATGTTGATCCGATTTTATATATTAAAAAAATATAAATATATATATCCTATGTGAAAATATTAAAAAATAAATCATCAATCATCAAAGATTCAAAATATACTTAACATAATTTACCAATTACAACCATAAGTCAATATTACACAACCTAATTAAAGTATCAAGATATCAAAGTACAAAACTTATATTCTAATGATACTAAAGTATCAAGATACCACAAGTCTAGGTCGCTACGAGAGAAGAGAACGATTAGATTTAGGTTTCCAAGCATTTTTATTTTTATTTTTTTTAATAAAACGACGTTGTTTCATGGAATTTTCCTAAAAAAAAAAAATATGCAGTGACTCGCTTTGACTCTTCTCTAACCTGGGAGTCACTGAAACCCGGTCGTGTTTTGGGAGTTGAAGAGGTCGATGTGTATATAGGGTCCAACTTGTGACCTCAACCCTTAGAAGAGAGGGGTCACGGCCCGGGTCAATCCGGGGCCGGGGTGAAGTTTTAAAACACTGATACAAACCTTGTAAAAACTTCTAAATAATAAAAGTTTATTTAAAAATTAAATAAAATTACGAGGAGAGACATATAATTGAAGCTAAAAAAATATGTATCATGGAAAAGAAAGAAAGATGGCAAAAAAATTAAAATATTACACTTATAATAATTAATTACGATTTACGAATAGGTAACAGTTTGAAAACTATATTTGAATTTATTGCACTCATTCACGTCCAAATTAGGCGTGACTATTCACGCCCAAATTAGGCGTGACTCCCAAGGCATTCACGCCTAATTTAGGCGTGAATCATATGGTGTTGACACGTGGCAAAAAAAGTCAACTTACGAACCGTAAAACTTTAAAAAGCCATAACTTTTGACTCGGGTATCCAAATGAGTTAATTTTTTTTGATTCTACATAACTTTTCGAGATCTACGCAATGACATCTCATTGGATATATTTTATCTCTCACAAACACAATTCAAATTTGCAATAATTGTATTATATAGTGTATTACCAAAAAAAATTTAGAAATTATTATTAATAAGAAAAAGAAAATAAAGATTTAATTTGTGATTTAAACTCAAAAATCAATTTTAAAAATATGTATTAACAAAGAAAATAATTAAATAAATATTCTAAACACTTGTTTTTTTAATAAATAATTACGAATAAGTTGCCGTTTTGAACCTAATTACGAATATATTGCACTCATTCACGCCCAATAATGGTACTATAACATTAAATTCAAAATTCAAAATTCAAATAACCTCCAATAAGTTGATTGCATTTTGTATTTAACAAGAGTTGATTGTGTTTTGTATTTAATAGGAGCTGATTGCGTTATAATTTTACGAGTTGGTTACATATTGTCGCCAATTCAAATAAATTTGCTGGTGGTTATTTGAATTTTGAATTTAATGTTATAGGAGTTGATTGCGTTTTGTATTTAATAGGAGCTGATTGCGTTTTGTATTTAATAGGAAATTTGAAGCCATCTTATTTATAGATGAGTTAATCCACTTTGGTGCCATCTTTATAGTATCATTGTTGTAAATTTGAATTGTGTTTGTGAGAGATAAAATATATCAAATAAGATCTCATTGTGTAAATCTCGAAATGTTACGTGGAATCAAAAAAAGAATTACCTCATTCGGATACTCGAGTCAAAAGTTATGGTCTTATAAAGTTTTACGGTTAAACTATTAATTTTTTGTGCCACGTGTCAACACCAGACGAGTCACGTGTAACGCCTGGCCGCTTCAAGAATCAATGACTATCCCCACATACTAACACGAGACTTTTCAGTGTGCTTTTTCCTCACTCGCACACTTCCCGGGAAAACCTCTCAGGAAGTCACCCATCCCAGAATTGCTCCAAGTCAAGCACGCTTAACTATAGAGTTCTTCCGTTCCGGGCTACCGAAAAGCAGATGCATCTTGTTAGCATAGGTAGTACCAATTAATTCTTATAAGCTATCCCAAATTGTGCAGTCTCATACCTGCACAGTCTTTGGAATCCCTCTCTTTCGGGTGTCGATTCGATTCATTCGTGCATGTAACCCCCCGCTGGAAGCCTGTCAGAAGCCGCTCCTTGTCTGTGCCCTTTCGCACCGGCGATCACTCCCCGCCCTCGTCAGCGCTCAGAATGTTACATGCCCACCAGCTTCCGCTTGGTTCGTTCTCGAACCACACCGTACTGGAAGAGAGGCCTGCTCTGATACTACTTGTAACGCCTGGCCGCTTCAAGAATCAATGATTATCCCCACATACTAACACGAGACTTTTCAGTGTGCTTTTTTCCTCACTCGCACACTTCCCGGGAAAACCTCCCAGGAAGTCACCCATCCCAGAATTGCTCCAAGTCAAGCACGCTTAACTATAGGGTTCTTCCGTTCCGGGCTACCGAAAAGCAGATGCATCTTGTTAGCATAGGTAATACCAATTAATTCTTGGGCTTTATTAATCTCCATCAATAGGAGAGAAGTATCTCCTACCACTCTCACAATCATGTGGTGGGACCCACATAGTTATAAAATAAAAAAATAAAAAAATAAAAAAGCTCAAGGATCGATGTCTCTATTGGAAAATAAACCTATCTCCTATGACATAAGACTAGTTTTTTCCTTAATTCTTATAAGCTATCTCAAACTGTGCAGTCTCATACCTGCACAGTCTTTGAAATCCCTCTCTTTCGGGTGTCGATTTTATTCATTCGTGCATGTAACCCCCGCTGGAAGCCTGTCAGGAGTCGCTCCTTGTCCGTGCCCTTTCGCACCGGCGATCACTCCCCGCTCTCGTCAGCGCTCGGGATGTTACATCACGTCTAATTTAGGCGTGAATGCTATAGGAGTCACGCCTAATTTGGACGTGAATGACTGCAATAAATTTGAATATAATTTCCAAACTGCTACATATTTGTAATTAATCATTAAAGATGTAATATTTTAATTTTTTTGGCAAAGAAAGATAGCACCCATGATTCAAAGGGAGGAGTAAAATTTACAATTGGCACGTTCTGTTGGGCTTTCTCTAGTTTTTCCCCCGTCCGATAATCGTCACCAAAGTAGATCGCACTGAAAAACAATGGCTTTAGGTTTTATCGTCGGATTCGTCGGGGTTCTGATTCTATTTCACGCCGCTTATTCAAGTATCCAATGTATGCACCACTCACTAGGATTATGAATACCTGTTCTTATATCCCAATATTATTATTATTATTATTATTATTATTATTTTTTTAATTTACGTATTTTGTTGAGAGAAAAAAAAGGTTCAGAGATTTGATGCATGCCTCTCTAAAATTTGGGTTTGGTTGCAGACAGGGCTTTGTTGAAGATTACGGAGGAAGAGTTTTCAGGGCCTCCTTTGAATGTGAGTGTTGTTCTTTTTTTCTGATTATTTGTGTTTGGTGTATTATGGGAACTTTGTGAATCTGAGATTTTGGGAATGCAGGTGGTAATTGAGCTGTCTCTAGGATTGATGCTTTGTATGTGGGCTGCATTGACTGTGCCTGGGAAAATTTTGTCCATCCACCCTGACTCTGAAGAGAACAGGTAATTCCTACTTGTTTCTCTTTTTGAAAGTTTGATTCTTTTGAATTGAAGCTCAGTGTTTGATTTGGTTTTGTCATCTCAACGATTATTATTAGCAAGAGGTCATTGTAATTTGATAGCATCATCCTTGTACAACAAAAAGCTTGATACAATTCCTTGACTTTTGGAATGAAATTAACCTAGTGAGTTATGTGTAATGTTATGCCTGGCATAAGTTGCTCTTGCTATTTAATAGTATTTTCCCTTTTATGCTTGGTATACCTTGATCAAGTTCTGTTGCTTGTCCATTCTGTCTTGGGCTTTTCTTGGCAGAGAGGGCTGAAATAATAGGGGAATGGAAATAGAGAAGGTTGGGAAGAGAGGTCAATATGAAGTGAGAAAATTAATTCTTGAATAGCTTCTAGTTCTAATAAAGGTTATACTATAGTTGCAACACACAGAGTTGCTCTTTTTCAATATACTTGACATAAGCTAGGTGTGCTTGTGCTTGTTATTCTTGTTAAGATAATGAGGTGAGAATGACTTTCGAGGAGAATTGAGTTTAGAAAATTAATTTTGGAAGAGAGGGTTTTATGTTTTGAGTATAGAAAATTTTAATCCTCGTACTTTTTTCTGGGCTCTTTTCTTGGGACCAAATGGCTGGCCATATTGGAAACTCCTACCCTCTTCCCTTCTTGTGATATATTCTTGACATGGTAGCTGTCTACCCACTTCCCTTCTTATGATATATTCTTGGTATGGCTGCTGCCTTGCTCTTTCTGCATCCATTGTGGGTACATTCTATTGGCGCTAGAGTTGGTTGTTGCGTGTATTGGAGCTCCATTAAAGTAGCGTTTACTCGTTTCTCATTTTAGTAACAAATATGCCATACCAAGCTAACAGATCAATGGATAGATTTTTCAAACAAAAGCATTTTCTCTCAACCACGATCTTTTGTTGTCAACACTGGTATGGGATATTAAAAATAAGTGATGTAAGTGGTATTTCATGTAAAACATTGCATGTGAGAGGATGTTAAGAGTAGCGTGCAAAAAGTGTTCAAATATATATTTGTTCTCTGTCATGACTTTTCTCTTTCCAAAATTTTGTAATTGCTAAGCTATCATTGGTTGCACTTCTGTTCATACTTGAGATATAGAAGTTTATAATGTAGTAACGCAGTCTGAGTCTGCTGGCAATATCACTTGTATGGAATTACTTGGATCCTAATCACCGGGATGTGTTACCTTGGATGCAGGATTGTTTCTTTACCTTCCAATTTGGACTTCATGATCTTCAACCATCGAGGCAAGGTCTTTCCTGTGGAAATGGATGTGAAGCTCAGGCATTGAGGATTTTTATGGAATTGGATCAAGTACCTTGGTTTCTTAAACGAAGAAGAGAATTCTTTTCACGAAAATTGAATAATCTATTTGTGGATTTGATATCAGTATCGGTTGATGTATGAGTTTTTGCAGTTTTCTTTTGTAGCTTCATACTCAACATTTCTTGTACTGGGCACGTATCTTTGTAATTTTAACAGGATGTTACTACCAGAGGCATTTATGATGAGGTGGCCTCCAATTTGACCATACATGAATGATTTGCTTGAGCCTTGGGATAACTTATTAGGGACTATAGAGAATGGTAATGTCCAAAATGAAATAAAATGATCTCGTCTAACCAGGTTAAAAATTGCGTGAGCTTGGTTAGATTGCAAATAATGCGTTCATTCCTTCTATGCATGTGGCACAACATATTATCCTTCTAGAGTGATGCCTCACACATGTAAGAGACGAAGGCTAGGGTTCTCTGTAGCTCTATTCCTGGTGGCCTAATACGCATTCAAATGACAGGCTCTGGTGAAATACACAGATCCGCTGTCAAGTATGCAAGCGACTATAACGTGGAAAAGTAATTGGAGCGAGTTCAGATTACTATTCCATTGATGCTTATAATGTTATGGGACCCCCACCCCCCAAAAAACATAAATAAACAAATAAAGTTGTGCATATTTCTCACAAGCTAACACAAACGGCCCAAATGCTGGTTTTCCATTATCACTGCGACAGCTAGAACCTCCACGCCCTACTAAACTAATCAATCATAAACTCTGTCAGCATATTTCCTTGTCCGTCCTGACATGATTAAACGTTCATCTGTCTAACTGTCTTGCCCACAATAGTAAAAAAGTTCCTCTTGGAAGTTGGGACCATGATTGCTAAAGAAGACAAGCTTTGATAAATACCAAAATTCAGCAAACATTCCCGGAACACACTATATTTGTTCTTGCAAGTGGGTTTTGAAACACAATGGCCATAGTCATGTTATCACACCATGGACGGAATAAATGATTGAAATGGCATCAAGTTATACCTTGCCATACGAAAGGGGAGAAAAATGTGCAACGGATGCAGAATTGCGTTTCCATCGAAAAGAAGGAAGAAAGAAAAACATCATTATTTGAACAGATTACAAAATCCCCACTCATTGGCACTAATAAATTTTCTCCATCTCCTATTTTCCTTTCCTTTTGAACTTATCACCACAAAATTATCAGAAACGACAAATTTACCAGAAACGAATACAAGTCATTACAGCATAACATGAAGAACATGGCAAAGGCACAGAAAATTTCAGTATATCGATTAAATTGAATTCAGTATATAAAATACAATGAGGTGTGGAGACAAGAGCTTTATGTTTGAAGATCAGTAAGCAAATTAGAGCTAAACTGGAAAGAAATAAACAAATTCAACTGCTCTAAAAATATGTTAAAAGAGTGACTCTACATGTAAGTCACAAAATCCTCACCAGAAGATCAGTAAGCCCTTAAACTTAAGTTCTCCCCTTAGCCCTCCTGATAATGCCAACTCCAATGCAAATGGTAGTCAATAAATTAATCAAATCTACAAAAGAGTGAGTTCTTGTGGGTTTTCCATAGACTGTTTGAGAATATACTCAGCTCTCCTCTTCTTATCATCCCTCTCATCTTCTCTGCCAGCCAAAGCTGCAGATCGTGAAGCATCCTTCTTCTGAAGCCTTGTATCCAAAGACTCCCCAATGAGCTTCTTCCCAGTTTTGAACTTGAAGTGCACAGTAGGCCTTGCAGCAGGAAGAACCGTTCTCCCTTCAACCCCATCATCATCATCATCATCATCATCACACAAACCACCATTCTTAAGCATCTCAATCGCAGGACCAAATGCATCCAAAACAGAAACACGGTTTCCATCAACACCTTCACCCGAAACCTTATAGGGCAAGGCATTTGGACAACCGTTTTTGTTCCCTTCAGGATCTGAAGCACCACTAGCTGGAACAACAGCTGAAGTAGTTGCACATGTTGTTGTTGTTGTTGTTTCCACTGAACCATTACCGTTACATGACAATAACCGCTTCTGCAAACTCAACAAAGACCTTTCAGCTTTTCTACGTTGCCTCGCTTGTTCAATCTTGTCCTCACGAGGATCAGAGGCTCTCTCATCCCACACGGGTGTGTGAATGTAAGTGTGAGGATCAGGCAATGCTGGTAACCAAGCTGGTATGTGCTTAAACGGTGGCGTTTCACTCATTTGTATGAAACTCGGGATTATTCTCCGATCCCGAATCACCGGAAACTGAGGTATAGGTTGTGCAAACGGTAACTCATCAACTGATTCCACAAAATTCATAAGCTCCCTCACGCCGGCGCCGGCGCTGGAAAACCCTTGAGGAGCTTCCAAATCTTCAAACCCTCGAATCACATCAAACACGTTGCATTGAGATCTACCAGCTAGGTTAGCATAGAACACTGCCGTTTTCCCCAAGTCAACGAGGTACCGGATTGCCACGTCGGCGAAGGCCTCCGAAACAGAGTCCTTGACGCCGTGAAATCCCGCGGCTTCACATAGCTGCGCCACCGCGACCTTCGCCGCGGCTCGGCCGTATTCATCGGCTGCAGCTCTTCCCCCTCCATGGCTCATTGTTCTTCAAACCCACAATTAGGGTTTCCGTGACCGGCATTGCTTAACCCCCATGGATTTCGAATTCCTTCACCCCCAGCAACCAAAATGTCCAAGAAAACAACTTTGAAAAATAAAAAAAGAAATAAGAAAACCTAACTCAAAGAGTGAAATTTGCAGGGCAATTTCGAAGAAACGGTGGATACAGTGAAAATTTCGGAGGCATCGAAGTGAAGGGTAGTTTGGGAATCATGGGTTTGAGTAGAAGAAGAACACTCTCAATCTCAATATGAGAAGAAGGGGAAAAAAATTATTAAAAAAAAATTGAAATTGAAAAGAAGAAAAGAAAGGAGATTGAAGTGAATGAAGGAAGCAGGGGAAGATGTTTTTTTATAGAGTAGTGAAGTGGTTTGGGCAATAAGAGCCACATGAACTGGTACCTGTATATGCAAGTTCATTTTTCAATTCTTCCCTTGTGTATTCTGTCAACACAACTTTTTGTTAGTCTAGAAATAGCACAAAATTTGTGTTTGATATGGATAAGTATTAGACAAATTAATTTAAAATTTATTACAATACTATTTATGTTTTACATGATTTGTTATTTTTTTTTGGTATCCTACATGATTTGTTTTGTGCTAAATTTTTTGCAAAAGAGAATATATTGATATTTTTTTATGAGGTATGATCCTTTGACAGCAGTGTCAAATTTTAAATTTGACACCTCATCTCATAGCCGTTAGAGCAAAAAAGATCAATGGTGTCACATGCTTACAAATCAAAGTCGTTGATCTTTTTTGATCTAACGACTATCAGATGAGGTGTCAAATTTAAAATTTGACACTGGTGTCAAAGTACCCTATCTTTTTTTTATTATATTTATCATTTGATTATTGAAATAATTTGGTTAATGTGTAAATAACTTTGAAACCTTAAAATATAAAAATTATTTTATGAATATTGTTTTCAATATATAAAGATAGATCATAATGCTATTTTTGTCATATCAAAATTTGTATTAATATCAATAAATCTTAAGAAATCGATTTCAAAATTTGTTTTTAATAAATTTAAAACAGAAATAATTATTTTACAGTTTAAGTGATATTATATATATATATATATATATATATATATATATATATTTAAATTGCATCAGTTTGGTTGTCACACTGACTCTTTGTGATAAGAAAAATAATATTCTAGTTTGTGAAAATATTCTTACTTATAAGTTCGAATTTTTTTATAATTAATTATTTATTTAAATTATGCGTATGATTTATTTGTTAAAGATTTTACACTCGCATCAGGTTACTTCTCAAAAAATACCAAAAATATATGTAGTTAAATATCTTACGACGCATTATACAACTCATACGATACGATTCACACGTCTAGCGATTTATATCATGGGATATATCTCAAAGAAGTTTGTATCAAACGATACGATACTATATCTTATAATACAATACGATACGTATATCATATATTACAAAAATTAAATCAAAATTTATAATTTTTAATATATAAAAAAAAGAAATAAAAATTTAATTTACGGTTTAAATTAAAAAAACCTAAAATGGTCCTTTTTGAAAAAGAATGATAGATTAGATATGTCACTGATAGATGCTAATGGTGATAGTAGTGATAATATTAGTCTTAATGATTGATGAGTAGGGGTGTAAATAGACTAGGCTATTCTCTGGCTTAAATAGACCAGGCCTGTGTAAAAAAAATTGTGTATAGCCTGACCTATTACCTTGTGTAAGCCCCAAATTACAAATCTAGCTGGTCTATATATAAAAAATAAAAGTCTGGGCCTATGCCTGTTAGCCTGTTTAAGCCTATTAAACATTCAATAATTAAACGAATAACTAAAATAATACTATTTTATTATTCAAAATAATTAAAATAATAATTTTATTATTATATTTTAAATAAATAATATAATATAAGCCGGTCTATAGGCTTATAGGTCTGACATGAACAAAAAAGGCCTATGGCCTATTTTCTAAATAGTTTTTTTTAAAAGCCTAGGCCTATTCTATTTTACTATTTATAATAAGGCAAATCTGGTCTAATATAAGCTACCTGTAGGCCGGCATAACCCATTTATACTCCTATTGATGAGTATCACAATAATTGATTTGAACTTTTTTTTTTGGTACATAACTGATTTGCACTTTAATTACATATGTATTTTGCTTATTGGATTCTTTTTGCAATTTGGATTTGTATGATATTAATTATATTATATATTTTTAAATTATTTTTTGAAAAAAGTATTTCTCCAGTCACTTATCTCTAGTGAGCTCAAAATGTTGTCGTTTTGAGGTTATAAAATTTAAAAATTATAACGATAAAGACTAATATAACCCTGCAATATATTATAATTACAAAAACACATTGATTTTCGTCCCAAAACGATGTCGTTTTGAGCTCACCGGAGATAATTTATCTTCATTGACTGAAGAAATCTTTTATCCTTATTTCTTATTATATTTTTATATCTTACAGTTCCATATAATTCACAATGATATAAAAACTGGTCAAATGATACACGACTTTGTGTATACCTTCTAACAAAAGGAAATATGAAAAAGTTTGAGTGAATTAAAAATTAAATCTTTTTAAAATGATAATTTAATACTTCCTATAGAAACATTAAAATCCAAGTGATGAATTTTTGTGTAAAATCAGTCTCCTTCATTTTAGAAAATGCAACGTGGATTTGTTATTTGCTTCACCAAAAAAAAAAAAATATAAGCAGAGTTAAATTTTTAATGGGAAAAATGTGTATATTTTAAAGGACACATTTTAAGTGAGATGAAGAGATAAATCCTGGGAGAGAGAGTGGGAGGAAATTTTTTTAAAAATGTGGATCCCACCTTTTCCTTTTTATGAGGGTCCTTTCATGTGAGATGTGTCATTTTAAATGACACATATTTTTTCCATTTTTAATATATATATATATATATATATATATATGTTAAGAAGATTCTATGTCACAAAAAATGACAAAACGACGTCGTGAGATGGTTTAGGGTGAAAGGATAAAACAAGATAGATGTGGAAGCTTTGAGAAAGAAGAGGAACAGACAGACACAGAAAAGAGAAAGAAGATGGAGAAGTATTTCGGGAATGCTTATCGTGGTGACCCGGGTGTGCCCCATGCGGATGCGGAGCGATTCGTCAACATTTGGGTCGGGTCTTCTGCCTTCTCTCTTCTCACTTACTTCCATCCCTATATGTGGCAGCTCAGCACTCAGTTCAAGTACCACTCTTTTCTCTCTTTTCCCCTTTTGTTTTGTTTTTTATCTTTTCAATTAATTGAAACTCTGGAAAGAGCCTCTGTTCGTTGAAATTATATATATATATATATATATATATATATATATATATATATATATATATTCTAGTGTATGAATTAGGTTAATTGCCTTGATGTGACGGCTTCCTGAATTAATTGAACGAATTCCTTTGCTTATGTGAAAATTCTTATTGCATTAATATGTTTGGCATCTTATGTTTCTTCAATTGCTGAAAATGCTCTTGTTTGAAAATCTATCTATTGATAACAACGTGTTATTATGATGATGTTGTTCCCTATGCTTGTTCTCTGTAGTTAGTATTTGGTTTTCGCTTTATGATTCTCTCCTTAATGCTTCAAAGTTAAACTGTTGTTTACTCCACTACCGCTTTTCTGTTCCTTTATTTTTTTTAATATCACAAATGCAAGCACACACTGTGGGGGAAGGTAAAAGAAGATAGTGGAAAAGGCTTCCACTCTAATAAGCTTCACTTTTCTCTCTTTTCCTCCTTCCATGTCTAAACCCTATAATTTCATAGTGTAAATGAAATCTATCATGTCAGGTTTGAGTATACCTGCAAAGAAAGAATTTCATATTTATATCTCTGAAACAAATACAGATGAGTCAAAAGGTGGAAGTGGACCATTGGAATGTAATGTATATTACTAGGATTTCAACAATGAATTAAAAAATAAAAATAAAGAGGATTCCTTTCTTTGTATACATATGGATTTGGGTAGGGCTCTACTAAATAACTGAATCAAACCGAAATTGTATTTTTTTGCACCAGTTTTATGAAGCGATCTGGTTTTACAAACCAGTTCAAAAAATTGAACTTAACCAAAAGAACCAGTTTCAAACAGTTCGAAACTTGATTGAAACTAGTTTGAAACTGTTTTACATACCTGAACTGGTTTTGAATCGGTTATAAATCAAGAAGTGGTTTTGAAACATGAATCGGTTCTGAACTGTTTTGGAACCGGTTGTGAACTGTTTTGGGAAAAATAAAACTGGTTTGGTTAAATAAAAAATCAGTTTGGGTCACCATGCATGCACCCCCTTAGTTGTGGGAGATAGAGGTATAGCAGTTGCTTGCTTCAAGGTTAATCTGCTGCTTTCTTCTCGATTTGTTTTCCCTCTATCCTGCTTCGGACATTTGAGCAGAGTGGATAATCTGATTACATAATTTCTCTCTTCTTAGTTATTATTCTTCTTCTTGAAGATTTCTTTAGCATCATCTAATTTTTACATCACATATGCTAAGATCCTTTAATGTGCAGTTGGCATGATAGGGAAATGTTATATGAACAATATCACTGGAAACAGGCAATGAAGAAGAACCAGCCATATGAGTGCAAGGTATGCTATTTTACTTCTCTCTACCTTATTTTTCTTGAGAGCTTTAGCTGAACAGAGCTGATACTTTGTTTATTTTGTTCTTTTTTTTAATATGAGCAAATGGTTATGTTCTTATAAAAACTTGTGCTTTTGCAGTTTAACAAGACCTGGGACAGGACCCTCCGTGACTCGTACTACTTCAATTGGCCTTATTACTTTGCTTAGGTCCCTTCCTTTTTGGTTTGTTGCTGGCATTGTCTTATCTTTACTTTGGTTGCAAACCTGGAGAGAATTGATGCTCCCCCAACCCCCCCTTGCATGCACTCTCGAATATGACATTTTGAATGTGACTTAAAAACAATTACAAGCATGTGTTTCTTGGTTTCAGTCTACATGATGCCTTTGGATTACTGAGATTTTTTTTTTAATACAAAATTATTCGAAACACAATCCGTTGAGATAAAACTAATGACTGAAATAGAAGGGTACGTCTGTTCCTTGTCAATGGCGTAATTATCTGCTATGTTTGTGTTGGAATAATCATCATTAGAGTAACTTATGCTGACCTCCTCTACGGCTTGTAGAAGCTACAGAAACACTACTTAAACTTTGGAAATATTTGTGTTTTAAGGGAAATTTGTTTTGAACAAGGGTGTGAGCATCATGAAACTCAAACTAAAGAAAGCGAGTGTAACATTAAAAGAAAAAAAACTATAGGATTGTGTTCCCGAAAGTTTTACAAACTATGTGGGGAGGTAAGCATAATTTTCTCTTATTAACACCTAGGAGCCTGTCTTTCTCATTATCCCATGTATAACCAGCTGCTAAACTTGTTTGGATAGCTGACTCTGTTCTCAAGGAATTATAAATAACTTTTTCTAGTTGTGGTTTGGTCAGTAACCTTAAACGGATTCGTTATGAGCGTTGGGCAGCTTATCAAATTAAAGGCTAATTAGAGATAGAGCGGGCCTAGAAGTTAGATAATAAGGTGGCGTTTGGTTGAGGAGAAATTTTATGAATAATAGGGAAATGTTATATATAGAGAAATGGTTTGAAAGTGAGATAGGTAGGAAAATGTAAAAAAAAGTTGTTTGGTTGGGAAAAATTTTACCGGAAAAATTAGGTAACTTTTATGAAATCTATGTTTGGTTGTAGGTAAAATATAGATGAGAAAACAAGTTAGTTTTACGAAAATAACCCTGTTTTTAAGGTACATAGAAGTTGCTGGATTACATATTTATTCATACACATCGTACTATGCTAACTGCTGTTTTGCCATTTGTAACATAGTTCACGACGACAAGAACCACAAACACTTTACATATCGATCTTTTTTCAAGCATCATTTATCCTTCATCATCAAGCATTCACAACGGTTCCACCTGAAAAGGAAAAAAAAAATTGTTATAAAACCCATATAACAATCACCTTCTGATTCTGGTGTAAAAAAACAACTTAGAAGCATAAAAGTATCATTTTATCACCGTTGGGGTGGAGGACTTGGGCAGTTATGTAAGAGGAGCATTGGTTGCAGGCAAGAAACACATAGGAGGGAGCAACCTCAATAGGCTGGCCAGCTCTCATCATTGGCACATTGGCCCTGTTCTTACTGGTGACATCATTATGTACAACGTTGGACCGCTTATTGCTGGTGCTTTGGTTGGTTTGATGTATGGCCAAGTCTTCATGCACCTGTGATATTTTGACTTTCGCGCCCTAATAGAAGGGTAGGTTCGTCATATGATTCTTGCCCATTGTGATGATTTAGTTAGATAACATGAAATATCATATGGCAAATGGGAAAATTTAGCTGGCTATTTTCATCAGATAGACATGCAAATGGTTAAGCTGGCTTTTCTGTTTAGGTAGGCATATCTTCAAAACTCTTTAACCAAACAGGGGCACTCAATATTCTCACTTCTCAAATGCCTATGTATCTCAAAAAAATCTTCCAACCAAATACACCCTAAAGGATCAGTTATACGTGGATTGCTGTGCAAATGCATCATGCTGTTAACAAGGTAATTAGGCACTCCTTGTCTGTCTTGGTACTTGATTTCAACGTCCTAGTTCTGGCTTGTGACGGGGGCATGTTAGGCTAGTTTTCCGCTTTATAAATTTTTAGAGAGAAAGAAGTGGAAAGGAAATAGAATGGACAAAGGGAGAGTTAGTTCTCCTTATAATACGTGCTCAAGGCAGAAATTTTACTACCCTTATTTCGGAATTGAAGTTAAAGCTAGGAAATGGGAATCATTTTTCTTCCTCCTGTTTGATTTAAATCTCCCCCTTCTCAATTTGAGGGGCAAAAATATGGGACTTTTGAGTGGGAAAGAGGGTCACTTTCATTTTTCTTATTAAAAATCTTGCATACAATGGTTTGTACAATAAGAGCTTGATTTTTCTCTCTACTTACTCCCGATTCTCCTTCCTAGTTAATAATCTTGTAAACACAAGTTCCTATTGCAATGAACTTCTTGCTTTAAAATCACTAGATGAACTCGTTGCTTTAACTTGAATGTATTTCAAGTTCGATTGTGCAAGTTTGCAGAATAATCAAAACACGTTTTGGCAATCAATTGACATATATATATATATATATATATATATATATATATATATATATATAGAGGCAGGATCTTTTGACACCGGTGTCAAATTTAAAGTTTGACACCTCATCTAAGAGCCGTTAGATCAAAAAATATCAACGACTTTGATTTGTAAACATGTGACACCATTGATCTTTTTTTATCTAATGACTCTTAGATGAGGTGTCAAACTTCAAATTTGACACCGGTGTCAAAGGATCCTACGTCTCTCTCTCTCTCTCTCTCTCTATATATATATATATATATATATATATATATATATATATATATTTTAAACTCAAATACATACGATTTTAAAATAGAAAGGGTATGTTAAAGCTTTCTTTATTATTTGTTTTAGTGTTTATAACTAGGCATTCAAGAAGTTATTGTCGGAATTTGACTCTTCTGAAATAAGGTATATATACTTTAGAGGGTAAAGCATAGGGTAACATGCTAAATTGGAAAATCAATAGTTAAGATTGTAATAAAATAAATGCACATATGTAATTTATTATAGGGATGGGATATTATGTTTATTTTTTTCATGCATACTCTATCTACTAATCTTTTTTTTTTTTTTTACAATACTGTTATATCATAATATTAACTAATTTTCACCATTTTCCCCTATTTTTTGAGATTCTAATATAATGATATTGAAAATAAATAGGTAGAGTAAATTTGAAAAAAGGTAGGTATAATATCATATTCTTAAATTATAAAGTTATTGAAGTCTATTCCATTGTTTTTTTTAATCAAAATTTGTAATCAGATTCTTCATTATTTAAAGTGCACCTCATACTTAGAAAAACAAATTTTTTCTATTAAATTCCGTTAGCCAAAAATTAAAAATAAAAAACTTAAAGAATTAAGCCAATAATTACTCATTATCTTAGTACGTATGGAATGTTTTTTTTTTTTTTTTTTTTTATTTCAGTTTCTCTTGTCCATACAAGCAAAAACTAGATCAAAGAGATTTTTACGAAAGCTCCTATAATAAAAAGGGTTTTTTTGTAATAAAAAAGAGAGTCCAAAGCCAAAAAAATCTTAGGAAGTTCAAAGCTAAAATTTTTGGGGAGAGATTCACTTACTATCAATTAATTTTATCATTTTTTATTATGTATTAATTTCCGTCAATACGATGGTTATAATTTATTGAATAATAATTATTAATTAATTGTTAATTTTCAATAAATTATAATCATCAAATGCGGAAATTAACATTAAGATTTAGTGATAAAAAGTGATAAACTTAATTTGTGATGAATAGCTTTCAGTTTTATTTTTAAAACTTATTTTTAATTTTAACTTAAAAGTAGCTTTTAATTAGGAGATGCTTAGAGCCTGTTTGGATCCTCTTATTTTTAAGCTAGAAGCTACTTATAAGCTAAAGCTAAAAATAAAAGCTTAAAAAAAGAAACTAAAAGCTGTTTGGTAATTACATAAAAAATTTAGCTTAAAAATTACTTAAAAGCACATGTTTCAAGAAAATTATTTCTCGCTCTATCTTTATAACTCTTCGTTTAAAAAAAAAAACACACAATTCAAGAAAAACAGATAAGAGCTTAAAAAAAAGCTCCTTCTAGGAGCTTTTAGTTTTTGACTTTTTTCTTCATTATAAAAAAAAGAGTTTTTCATTATAAGAGCTTTTTCCAAAATCTGTTTGGCCTAACTTATGCTTATAAGTAACTTCTAACTTAAAAATAAGAGGATTCAAATTCACATCCGACTTTGAGCTTACATGATGAAGTTAATTCATTTAAATTTTTAACCCAAGCCGCCTTAAATTGTAAAGAACAGGTATAAAACGTGTTAGTGTAACATTTTTTTAATAATAATCAAACTTGGTCACATAATTATAATATTTTTTTACTGAATGAAAACAGAAAAATATATTTTCTTTAACAGGTAAATCCAGGTTCACTAATAATGTAAAAATTCTTTAAAACTGTGCGGCATCAAAGTTAATTTTTTTTTTTTTTATTTAAAAAAAAAGAGAGAGAGAAGAAGAAGAAGCATTTCTCGAACGATGACATGTGCGTTTCCATAGTAGAAGGAAGATAATGGCGCATTATCATTATCTTCTTAACATTCCATCATCTTCATCTTTATCTGTATCTCTCACTTCCCCAAATCTCTCGCCTCCATTGCGGACATTACTACCTAAGACGCTGTCGTGTCATTTTCCAACATCATCACACAAAACTTCCAACTCCACCAACTGGGTTACTAAATTTCACTCCAAACCTTTTCATCTTGCTCTGTCTGGAGCCCTATCACTTGGGTTATTATTCGGAGGTAATAATAACACCCCTTTTTTTTATTTTTAAATACTGGAATATAAAAATTTCAATTTTTTTCAAACTTGGTAGGAATTGGATTGGCTGAGGCAGCAAAACTTGGTGTGAACAAGCCAGAATTGCTTCCTAAGGACTTTACTACTGTCATTGATGTTGCTGGATTCCTCTCTGATGGACAGGTATATACTGTTCCCACCATGAAAATGGTGTTATGTGTCGAATGCTTTTTTATTTTTATTTATTTATTTATTTATTTTTCTATTCAAATTGAACATACAAATACTACCGAATGTCTGAATTGTTGTGTCTGTGAATTGAGGGAAGAATGTTAATGATGTTCGATTTGGTGATTTCGTCTTCAGGAGAAAAGGCTAGCAGAAGAGATTGCTGCTCTTGAAACTGATACTGGATTCAAGTTGAGGGTTTTGGCCCAGAACTATCCTGATACCCCAGGTTTATGATTATGGTCATTGTGGAGGTTACCAGTTACCATAATATGGATCTCACGTAATTCGTTTCTTAATTGCACACTTAAAGGCTATTATTATTGAAGTTTGAAAGCTGAAACTAATGTAGTTCTGCAGGTTTGGCTATTAAAGATTTCTGGCAAGTAGATGACAGAACAGTTGTCTTTGTTGCTGATCCCACATTTGGTAAAGGATCAACCACACTTTTCTTTGTTGCTATTGTTTTTCCTTTTTGGCATGTTTATGTTTAGGGTTTAGTGTTTCTCATTGAGATAAAGTTATTTTCTGCAAAAAAAAAAAAAAAAAAAAAGGATGTATTTCGATTTGGAGAGAAAAGAAAATGGAGGATATTAGGGAAAAATTCATGTTGCAAGAGAGAAGTCAAATTCCCAAAACGCTCTCCAGTTTTAACCCCAAAAGCCACATAAACACTTATCCCTTCTTTATACATATATGCATCTACCAATTAAGATAATATAAAGGGTTTTGTTGAGCAGGCAATATATTGAATTTCAACGTTGGTGCTTCAGTTGATTTGGACATCCCACGTAGTTTCTGGAGTCGCTTGGCAGGGAAGTATGGTAACATTTTCTATTGGAAAGAGAAGGTAGACTCTGCTTTTCAATATACCTAAATTTTTTTCTTTTTTTTAGCTTAGTTAATAATTTGATAATGGTTTAACTTTAACAACAAATGAAACAGGGGGAAGATGCATCTATTGAAGCAGCAGTTATGGCAATTTCTAATTGCTTGAGAGAACCCGTTGGGCCTAGTAATTGTTCTGAGGTGAAATAATTTCATTGTTAATATTTTTTTTTTTATCATGTGACAGCCTTGTCAATTAGCTTGTTATCCCTTTTGGGTGTATAGAAATGAACTAAAACTATTGAGGATAATATGTTACATGTTTTAATTATATTATGTTGAATTTAAGGATCTTATGTACTTCATTGTTAATACATATGGAGTCATGTAATATAAAGTCTCTAGCGTCTTATTTATTGACTTGTGAAATCTGCTGACTAAGACTTATTACTTATCTTTAATATTAGTTCAGCTGTGGGAGCAGTTGAGAGTTCTCTTGAAGTATGTGTTTTCCTTTTAGAACAATGGCTCCTTGAGTCGTTGGATGAATTAAGTTCAACATCATAGATGCTACAAACTTAAATAGTTGTTCTACAGATTTTTCGTCTATATCCTGAAAGTAATAATATCACTTTGTCTTTGAGGCTTATCGATTGGGAGGAAGTTATAGTTGGAATTTGTACTCTTAGGTTGAGAAGATTTCCCAATGATGACTTAGAGTAGCCATAACCGTTTTGCTTTTGTGGATCCCAAAAGGTGTGAGGCAAACGTCCTCACCTGATGCATGAGGTGCATTGCGCAGGGAAGTGAGATTCTTTCTGATAAGGGTTTAAAAATCTCATTTCAGGAATGCAAAGGTAAACCCCTTATGTGGACTTTACCGGTCGGCCTAATGGACTAGGCTTGTGTGGTCGGCCGGTTCAATTTAATTTATTCGATTCAGTTTTGATATCAATTCTTTGATTGCATTCGCAAAGGGCATAATGGCACGTTTCTAATGAAAGCATTCGTACATATTTCTTTTCATAGGACCAAACAATTTGGTATTTGGAAGCTAGAGAATTAGACATTCCTAATTGAAAGAAAAGTAATGGAGTATATCATTATAATCACCCTCCCCCCTAGTTTTTTGGTTCATACTGTTGTAGAACTGTAGATTCAACATCCAAAATAGGAAAACTGAGCCAGCAAGCAATCATTTAATTGTTTTCAGCTCAAAAAGCATCTTGGTGCATGCATCGTTGAGCATTATGGTCATTTAAGTTTTTTTCCCTTTCTCCTAAAACATAGTCCATGAGAGAAGGCATTCTAGTTTAATTAAGGCAATTCCACCAGCCTCAGCAAAAGTTTATATATTAGTACTTAGAAATAACTAACCTGCAAGAATCAAAATATTTGAGCCGATGTAGTGAATAAAAAAGTACCGGGATGACAATAATGCTTAACATTTATTAATGGCAAGAAGTGATGACCAAAATTTGACATGAAGAATATAATGAATCATCTACATATACTTCTTCAAGCTGTAGCAAAAGGCTTAATTGATTATAAAGTAGTTTTCTATTATAGGAAGTAAGGAACATCAATAGTATTTGTATCCGTTTCTGCACCTTTGGTTCTCTCTTTTCTACTCTCTGAGACCATCTAGAATCTTCTGTAATTCTTGAGGTCGACAAGGGACTGCTAGAGCTCCCTGCTGTCCGAAACCATACTCTTCCTGAGCTTGGTCGAGTAGTCCCAAGAATGAAGGATCAGTCAAGTAGTTTAACTCAACAATGAACCTTTTGGATTCTCCATCCTTGATTGCAAGAACAGAAAAATATCCTTCCCTAACATCATCTGGCATCACAGTTGTGGCTTCCACAAGATCTTCGTTGAAGTACCTTAGTTCAGGCCTTCTGTGTGCAAAGAGTGAAAGACCCTTTTGTATCTTCCCAAGGAATGAGCTAGGCATTTTGAAGCAATTTCTTATTCTTGATAGGAAAGTGAATTAGTGAGCTTGAAAGCTTCTGAATTTTGAGCTTGTGGCTTCTATAATTTGAGTCTGGCTATTTATATGCAGAAAGAACAAGAAAATTTCTTGACTCTAGGACTAGTTGCGGAGCCACTAGCGATTGGCGAGTAGGTGTAGCCATGCATTGCTTTCATTTGGCATCGTTGGCAGGTCAATTTCTTCCTCTCCATATGCATTTAAGCAACTTTTATTGTTGAGGGAGAGCCTTTTGAAATTAAAAAATAAAATAAAAATCAGAACGGTTTAAATAATAAAACCCAACGTCAGAAAATGAAATGTACACAAGCCCTGACTTTTCCCCATTTCGTTTTCCTCCCTTACATTGAAGTTTGCTAACATTTAGTTTAAAATAAGCGTTTAAACACCTAGTAATCTTCTGAATTTCACAAATAACTCCTTTTTAATGGCCTTGTTTAGTGTATCAACAATTTGCTTTTAACACGACTCGTTGGCATAACATGAGAAATTCGTTTTCGGATTGACCTATTTTCAAATTTGTGTTGACAAAAATTGATATGAAAAAAATCGTGTCACGTTAGAGTGTCAACCTGCAAACATGACGTTGACCCACGTTAATCTTATTGTAAGTTATACATATGTTGTTCGATATGTGTTGTGTCAACCCATAAATTAAGTGGGACACTTTGAGATAACAAATCATTGGTATCATGTCATTTAGACTTGTAAAATAAATGGATCGTGTTTATGTCAAATGTCTTGACATGAATTTTTTGTGTTCATGACACAAATTGTCACCCCTAATAATAGATCAGATCAATTGTTTCCTAATTGCAAACATGGTTCCTCGTTGATCATGCTTCGTGTCACTTAACGTGATATTAGACCTAATAATTTTGCTGCTGGACCGAGTATTTGCAAATAGCGATATAATTGGAGACTTTTGCATAAGTTTGCCATTAAGGGGAAAACACTGATTGTTAAGAATCAATAAGAACTATGTGTAAAAGAGTTTGATGTTTCTTATGTCGTAAGAAATAAAATTATTTTCTACACATACACATAAAAGTCTGTAGGGTCCATGTGAGCCCATGTTAAAAGAAAAGAGACAAAAAGAAAATATAGATCTTACACACTTTTATATGTATATAGGAAATAATTTTATTTTGAGTAAACACCCTTTTTGGTCCCTGACAATATCTACGAAATCCTTTTTAGTCCCTGGCAATAAAAAAGGACCAAATTGGTCCCTAATAGTATGCAAAAAGGGCCACGTTAGTGACGGAGGAGTTGACATAATGACTAATGTGGCCCTTTTTTCATAATTTTAGGGACCAATTTGGTCTTTTTTTATTATCAGGGATTAAAAAGGATTTTGTAGATATTGCCAAGGATCAAAAATGATGTTTACTCTTTTATTTTTTATAACATGAAAAATATTAAACTTTTTAAGTGAAAATACCATAAGCTTTTTGTGTTTCGGGTTAAGATCACATGGTGTCAAGTCGAAAACAGTTTGTCACTTATTACTTTACTAAAGGTATTATTAATGCACGATTAATCCAATTTAGGGTCACCCTCTCTACCCCTTACGGGATACAGGGATAGGATTTGTTTTGTCAACCCCACTCTATGCTTGGTGGGACCTTTATTTCTTGCTATGTACGGATGTCTGGAGAACACAAAACGGTGTTTTTTACTACGTTGGCAGTAGATATAGTGCAACTGTTAATAAAATTTTCGCTGGTTTTACGTGATTATTTTATTTTATTTTTTAATTTTAGGAGTTCTTGGTGCATTTTCATCCCCTTCCACTTGCCCCCATTTTTTTATACTTTCCTGAAAATGGTGGAATCACATTACCATAGTTTATCTAAAAGTGGTTTTTTATTTCTTGTCTCAAGTAATGACTAGAAATAAATAAAAATAAGGCCAAATTTATATTTCTTATTTAAAGGAAGTTACTTTATTTAATCTATCAAAGAACTGTCTTGTTCCCAGTGTTTATAGTATATTTGTATACTTCTAAAAATGTTTTGTTTATCTTCTAGCTAGGTCATATCGTCATCTTTCTTCTTGTGCATACTTAGTTCATCGTCATCTTCTTGTGAATCAGGTCTACAGCAAAACACATTCAATATATATAAATATTTTCCGGTTTATTCTCTGTTTTAATTAGAATTCTATCGTATCATAAAGATTTTCAATTTTTTTAACCCAATTTTCCTTGAAATTAACTAAAGTTTGATTTTTATCATGTCATTTACAAAATTCGAAAAATCCGTTCTCTCTTTCAGGCATTAAATGCAATATGACCAGATGTATACATGAAGACTTGAATATCATAAAACCATGAAGATATCGAGGAGGGAAAGTGGTAAAAAAAATTAATATATTACTATTTTAATATTTATTTACGAAAACATAACTGTTTTGAAACTAAATATGGATCTATTGCATTCACTTGCGTTAGATTTAAATGTGACCACTCATGCCTAGAATCAGGCGTGACCCAGGAAAGAGACAAGCCCAGCATGGGGCGTGAGAAAGACACGCCCAAAGCCATGTGTGACACAAGAAAGAGAGACACGCCCCATCTGAGGAGTGGTTTTGGCACTTTGATAGACTTTTTGTTTTCTTGCTACCGCAACTGTATCGCGACGTGAAGACGAGAGAATATTGAATGGTTAAAACAATGGAGTCGCCACCAAAGTTTATTTAGGAAAATATTGGAAAAACCTTTTTTAAAGACAACTGGTCTTTGAAAACAAAAATAGGTTCGGGAGTCGATTACGAGTAGGGAAGGTATTAGCACCCTACACCGTCCGTTAAAAAAACGGTTACCTTATATTAGTTGTGCAAATTATTGATAATATTTGAAATATTTATTTCACCCTAAATAAGTAAAATTGATGGTTGGAAAAGAAAACTAAATTTGAAATTTTATTTTTGTGCTTGACGGGAAGAGTCCCGCTCCGACGTATCCCTCGGTACAATAGGGAACTCAAAGCTACGTCGTTCTGTAGAAAATATTGTGAGTTGATTGATTTTATTTTTTTGAAAGTAGTTTTAATTTGAAAGTTTTGGATTTGATGATTTCAGACTATCAAACTGTCGCAGCTAAAATAATCTGAAATGATAATTATAAGATTAACAAGTTGTCTCAACTCAGCTAATCCTTTTAAAATAAATTAAATTTCACGTTATTATTTATTATAAATTTTAAGATAAATTTGAATGAATTTTGAATCACCGAGCCGTCACGGCTGCAATGAGTCAAAACAAAATGTGTGGGGTTAACAAGCCGTCACGGCTCAGCTGACTCCCATTTCAATTGGTAACAAATTAATCTTTTTTATTTATTTATTATTATTTAATTAACTCAAGAATTAAATAGTTTTAAATAAAACTTTGATTTTTTTGTTTATTATTACTAAAT